GGTAATCCAGTTGATCCAGGATGACTTGCAGTGTGCTGTTGCCTATGATAAGTCTGCTGTGGTCGCCTCCTCGGACTGTATGAGGCATGATCTGGCTCGGCCCATGGGGAAGCACATGAAGTCAAAAGAGATCTCTGCTGCAAATCTACACCACGGGAGGCCAGCTCAGGCGTCGAAGAGGCGAAGGCTTGCTGCTAAAGGGAAAGGGGGCGCCAGCATGCAGCGGGTGTACCTCGCAGGTGTCCAGTCCTTTGGGTATTACGGGGCCGGGGTGGCGGGGTTGGACACGCGGGAAGTTGCAGCAGCGCAGTCATTCCCCACATCCTGAGTGGGGTTCTTGTTTTCCCAGAACACCCTCTCGTTCCCACCCACCTCCCGCTCCATCTTCCATACAGCACAATAGTATTCCTACCACACACACCATACCATGCCATAGTTCCTACCACACATACCATACCATACCATACCACACAATACGTACCATACCGTACCATACCATACCATGGCGTACCATGACATACCATACCATATCACACCCATGCCACACCGTACCATACCATACCATACCTCCAGTACCATACCATACCATAACATACCATACCGTACCATACCATATCTACCATATCATTCCATACCACTCCATACCGAAAACCATATTACTTACATGGTTTCGTGCCCCTCACACCCCTCCAGGGAGGCCCCGCCTGAGCGAGGAGGGTATCGGAAAACTATATTATTTACATGGTTTCGTGCCCCTCCCACCCTTCCAGGGAGGCCCCGCCTGAGCGAGGAGGGTATCCGAAAACCATACTATTTACATGGTGTCGTGCCCCTCCCACACCTCCAGGGAGGCCCCGCCTGAGCGAGGAGGGTATCCGAAAACCATATTATTTACATGGTTTCGTGCCCCTCCCACCTCTCCAGGGAGGCCCCGCCTGAGCGAGGAGGGTATCCGAAAACCATACTATTTACATGGTTTCGTGCCCCTCCCACCCCTCCAGGGAGGCCCCGCCTGAGCGAGGAGGGTATCCGAAAACCATACTATTTACATGGTTTCGTGCCCCTCCCACCCCTCCAGGGAGGCCCCGCCTGAGCGAGGAGGGTATCGGAAAACCATACTATTTACATGGTTTCGTGCCCCTCCCACCCCTCCAGGGAGGCCCCGCCTGAGCGAGGAGGGTATCGAAAACCATACTATTTACATGGTTTCGTGCCCCTCCCACCCTCCAGGGAGGCCCCGCCTGAGCGAGGAGGGTATCCGAAAACCATACTATTTACATGGTTTCGTGCCCCTCCCACCCCTGCAGGGAGGCCCCGCCTGAGCGAGGAGGGCATCCGAAAACAATACTATTTACATGGTTTCGTGCCCCTCCCACCTCTCCAGGGAGGCCCCGCCTGAGCTTCGCCAGGTTTCGTAGCCCTCCCCCCTTCCAGCGGGGCCCCGCCAAAGCGAGGAGGGCATCAAGAAAATGGGTCCCACGAAACCGATAATCTCTTTATGTGGGGAACTCCGTTAGCATATTTTTTTCCTGGAGACAGTTGGAAGCGCGCGCCCATCCAGGTCCCGCACGCTGTCGCTTTTAATTCTTCAGGGTCCCACCTGCAGGCTTGCTCTGGGCCCTGTCATTTCCTGGGCGAACCTGGTCTGGAAAGCTGCGACCAGCCCTGGATGCGAACCCTCGCTGCCACGGCTGACGGAGCTCGCCGCGAACATCCTGGGGAGGCCGCCGAGAGCTTGGAACCAGGTCAAAGGACCCTTTGGGGCTGCCGTCGTCTCTCTAATTCGGGCATCCTGGAAATTCGTCTCCCCTTTTGTCTTGGGGGCAGGAAGTAGTCCTAACCAGCACGTCTCCTGCAAAAGTTCTCTGTGATCTTAGAGCTGCGTGGATGTACATGTTGGCTGCGAAGGCTGCTCGTAAGTTTGGACACCCTGGAGAGCTCTTGGACACGTCTGTCTGCTGCCAGCTGTTACCCCCCAGCAGTACCTTGTCGTATGCTGAGAAGTGCATGTTGAAAGCTCTTGTCACACAGTGCGTGTGGTCCAAGTGGCGTTTAGCTAGACCGGGCTATGTTGTGGAAGATGAACCATGCCCTCTGTGCAGTTTTCCTCAGGATGGTCTTCACCACCGTCTGTTTGATTGCTCCGCTACCACTAGTGCAAGGGATGAGTTCCTGAAGGAAGAAGTGGTTGAACGGCTCTCTCGAGAAGATAAGAATAATCATCTTATGCTTGGTTTTCCGTTGGTTCCTGAGAACACCGTGAGACCGCCCGATGGTTCTGGACGCGAAAGCTATACCTTTTTCTGTGTGGACCCCAACTTGACTCCCCTGGAGGCGTTCCGAAACAAGAAGTGGTTTCATGACGGCTCCTGCTTTAAGAAAGGTCACGAGGTCCACCATTGCGCAGGCTGGGCATGCGTATGTATCCAGGAAGATGGGGAACCCTATGCAATCATCTCGGGCAAGGTCGGAACAAAGTTGCCACAGACGGGTCCTCCTTCGGAGCATGTTGGTTGTCTGACAAAAAGGATGTATGCGAGCTCGTCGTCTGAATTCTGCACGGACTACAAAGGGCTTGTGGCCGTGAACGGGAAGCCCTTGGAAGTTGTTTCAGACAGAAGGGCTTACTATGCTGGACCTGTTCTTCTTGCTCTGAGCCACCTGCCCAGGAAAGACGCTCTTGCTGTCACGAAAATGAAAAGTCATCCGAATGCTGATTGTGTTGGGCCATTTTCCGAGGAGTGGTACAAGGCTAAAGGAAACCACTGGGCTGACGTGGCTGCGAAGGCGGCTGCGATGACCCAATCGTCGGAGAACGAGCTTTCTGAGTTTAGCCTTGAAACATCCAGCCTTAAGTGTTTCCTGATTTTTGTAGCCAAAACTCTGTTGCACTGGTCAAGTCTTGCGCCAGCCAGGCCCAGCAGCCGTTTGGGCAGGGCAGGCACCTCCCGCGCTGGAGCAGCCAGCGCCGCCATTGCTGGAGGCAGTGCCGCCCGAGCCGCCACCGTCAGCGCCACCGACGAGGTGCTGGGTGCGGCTGGCTCGGGAGTTCCAAGCTCCTCCCCTCCCCCCAGGGGTGCCCCCCCGCTGGCCCTCCTTCGGCTGGGGGCCCTGCGGGACCGTCCCTCGTGCCATCTGTTGGCGGGGCGCAGGCGCCCCAGCAAAGAGAAAGAGAGAGAGAGAGAGGCCATCAATTCAGGTGGATTCAAGGCCTGTGGGCCTGCGCGCGCTGTCTCACCCACGTGCGATCGGACCCTCCGCAGCCTGCTGCGGACTGCTTGGGCTTTAGCCCTGTGTTGTGTGCCCTTGCGCAGGAGCCCCAGGGGCACAAAATCCACCTGACGGGCACCCCCGATGGGGTCACCCTATTCTGTCGCATGGACTGTGGCAGTGTCTCCGAGGGAATGCGGCTCGGTGGACTTGGGAAGGCCTGCAAGGGCGGGCCTTCCTCTAACCACGCGCGTGGCAACCCCTCTCGCATTAGAAAAGGCATCCATCCCAACAATAGGGATGTGCTGTTTGACGAGCTACGTGCCTCTTGCGGACTTCACCTGTGCTGTGGACAGCGGTGGTTCGGTTTCGACTGGTGAGGTGGGGAGTTAGTTGCTGGTGTGCATTTCCCCCTGGGGGTAGGGCCCTCCAGTGATTTCCTCTCTACCTTGCTGGTCTTAGCCTTTGCGATGCGACGTGTCAAAAAAAACCCTCCTCCAAAGGGGAGGGGGAGGTTCAACCACACCCCGTCGGCGCCGGCGCCGGCGCCGGCGGCCGCCACAGGGGCCCACGGCGGGGACGCAGCGACGATGACCAGAAGCAACCCAGGGGGGGGGGGGTCAACCGCCCCCCCCCTGGCGCCGGGGGGGGTTCAAACACCCCCCCCCTTCGCGCCAGCGCCGGCGCTGGCGGCGGCCAGCAGCGCCGGCGCTGGCGCCGGCGACGGCGGGGACGCAGACACACTTACCATCACGACCACCACCACCACTACCCCACCACCACCGCCTCAACCACCACCACCACCACCACCACCACCACAACAACAGCACCACCACCACCACACCACACCACCACACACCACAACCACCACCACAACTCACATCACCACCACCACCACCCACCACCACCACCACCACCACCACCACCACACAAAAAACGACCACCACTACCACCACCACAATCTACCACACCACAACCACCACCGCCAGAACCGCCACCACTACCAGCAGCACAACCCACCACCACCACCACAAACCACCACACCACCATCACCACCACCACCACCACCACAAACCACCGTCGTCCTCGTCGACGCTCCCCGCCACCGCCGCCCGCCGCCGCAGGCGCCGGCGCCGGCCCAGAAATGGAAATCGTCGTCCCCGCCGCCGTCGCCAGCCGCCACCGACACAAGCGCCGGCCCGAGGAGAGGGAACGCAGAGGAGGGAGGTGGGGGGGGTTCAACCTCCCCCCTCCATCCAGGGTGGGGGGGGGTCCGGTTTCAACCCCCCCCCCCCTCCAAGCGACCAGAGACCGCGCTCTTTCCGAGCGCGCGGCGCCCAACCCCCACTCCCCTGCCACTACGTACGCGCTCAGGAGCCGCGTCAGTACGATTTCTGTGGCCACTCATGCGAGCCTGCCACACGAATAGGAATCGAATAGGCGCTAGTCGACTCGAAGCGAGACTCACGGACGTTACCTCACCGATTACCCGCCGCTGTCCGACGCGAGCGCAACGCTAGCGACGAGATCACGAGGGCACACGAGGCTCCCGTGATCTGCTACCTACAGTCAACCCGTGCAGTAAGGATGCGCGATAAGGATGCAAGGGCCCTGGACACCCAATTCGAAGCTCTTCGACCGGGGCGCGGCCAACGAACGTGGCGAAGGGTGGACCGAGGAGGCAAGGATGCAAGGGCACCCTTGGGAAGGCTGCCCATCCCTACTATGCGGGTTGACAGTAATAAGGCCGCTCGACCCCCCCCCCCTCAGACAGCTCGTCGCCCCGGCGCCTGCGAACTTGCGCTTCTTCTTGAAGTCCGTCAGCCTGAAGTGCCCCTGGCGGCGGCCCGCCCAAAAGGAACGGGGGGGGGGGGCCGAGGGAAGCCCACGCGGGAGCGCGCAGGCTCGCGGAAGCGGGGAAGGGAGGAGGAGGATAGAAGAAGAGACAACGCCAGGAACAGAAGCAGAAACCTTTGGCGCTCCGCGCGGCTTCCTTGGATCTGCGCTGGAGGCCCCATGCCTGGCGCGCTCCGCGCGTTCAGGGGCAGCGCGGGAGGCGCCGCCAGGGGGCCCAGCGGCAAAAGTTCGTGCTTACAGTGGAGGCCCATGCCAAGAAACACCCTGCTTGCCTCCAGGGTGCCCTGGGCTTCTTGGGTTTCGATGGTTTTGCTGCGGAAGCTGCGACGCTCCCGCACGAAAACACCAAGGCACGTCCTGGGAGGTCTCAGGGTTGGGCCTCTTGTGGAAGGCTCCTCGTGGGCGGGCCCCGACTGCATGGCGACGTCTGCTCTTCGAGAGGAGGGCGCGGCCCGACCCTCATGAACTCCAAGGCCCCCGCCGCCTTCCGAGAGAAGCCCTGGAAGCCTCCGAGGACCCACCGGCGGCCTAGCGGACGGCGCGAGGGCCCCGAAGGCGCCCCCGCCGCCTCCTGAGAAGGCCTGCCCCACTCGCCCACTCCCTCCGTGCGCAGCTCGGCGTCGTGCGCTCACTGCTTTGAGCAGGGACCGACCGTCCCGGCATTCCTATAGTCCACATGTTCTTAGAACCCAAAAATGTTCGAAACACAAAAACAATGTTCTGAGAAGAGAACCCGATGCGTCAAAACAAGACAGACTGCGACAGAAAATGTTCTAAGAACATGGCGTGGGAACCACAAAAGGCTCTTAGAACATTGTTTGGTAGGCTATAGGCGAGCCAGGACACTTCGCCACTGCTTGACTGCCGCTCTGCCGTGCGACGGTCCAGGGCTGCTCCTCGAGGGCCCCCTCGCCGGGCAAACGGCGCACACGCCCGAGCGAGGCCAGGGCCCCCTGCTCGCGCAGCCGCCCGGCGCGGGGCCCTGCCTGCGCTCCGCGCTCTGCGCTCTGCGCCCCCTCCTCCTCCTCCTCCTCCTCCTCCTCCTCCGCCTCCTCCTGCTCCTCCTCCGCCTCCTCCTGCTCCTCCTCCGCCTCCGCCTCCTCCTCCTCTCCTCCTCCTCCTCCTGTTCATCCTATTCCTCCTATTCCTCCTATTCCTCCTATTCCTCCTATTCCTCCTCCTCCTCCTCCTCCTCCTCCTCCTCCTCCTCCTCCTCCTCCTCCTCCTCCTCCCTGCGCCCTGCGCCCACGCGTGACGCCGGCGGCGCTCCTGGCCCCCGAGGGCCCGGCCCGGCCGAGGCCCTGCCCCCAAGGCAGCGCCTCGGGGGGGCCAAGGCTCGCGGGCCTCTACGAGGACCGAAGATCGGAGTGTCGGGGGATCGAGGATCGACGGCCGAGGATCGCTGGCCTCCGACGACGGGATCGAGGATGGAGGATCGAGGATGGAGACCCAGGATCGAGGGTCGGAGGACGGAGGATCGAGGATCGACGGCCGAGGATCGCTGGCCTCCGACGAAAGGATCGAGGATCGAGGATAGAGGACCGAGGATGGAGGGTCGAGGATGGAGGCGGAGGGCCTGCCTGGCCCAAGAGGCCGCCGAGACACCCCAAGAGGACTCCAAACACATCCCAGGAGGGCCCCTAGGGGTGCATCGTACGTTTTCCTGTGGCTTTCGACGTTTTGGGGGTTTTCCACTTTTCATGCTTCCGAAGCTCCAAGACGTCCGAAGAGGCCCCCAAGACCGCCCCAAGACTGCCTCATAAGACCCCCAAGAGGGCCTCAAAGCGGCCCAGGAGGGCTCCAAGACGGCTCGAAAGGCGCTTAAGACTGCCTCACAGGGCCCCAAGACGGCCACAGGAGGTGCCTAAGAGGGGGAGCACGAACCGAAAATCATGGCCTTCCGCCCCAAGAGGCGCCCAGGGGGCCCCAAACGGCCCCAAAGATGCCCCAAGAGGCTCCTGAAAGCCCCAAGAGGCTCCCTCAGAAGAGGACCCAAAACAGTATCCCGGAGGCCTCAAACTGCCTCCAGGAGGTCCCCAAGAGGCCTCGACGAGATCCCAACGAACGTCCAAGAGGCCCCAGACCCACAACCCAGGCACGGTGGCGGGATGGACCCAAGGCCATTAGATTACAACAGCGAAAGAGACGCCGACCTTGACTTACAATACCCCAAAAAACGATTACAGTATGACTTACTGTGGCGGTGACTCTGGGTCAGTCTTCAATTCGAGCCGAAGCAGCAACCCATACAAATCGCAAGTTGGGGGGGAGAGTAGCTGGCCGCTCTGCGCGCGAGCCTGCGCATGCTAGCGCGGCCACAGCGATGCGCCAGCCAGTGTCAAGCAGTCGTCGCAATCGCCGCCGCATTGGTTTGACAAACCAAGTTGCGGGCGGATGGGATGGACGATTGCGCGAACAGTGAAGTTGGCAATTAATTGCGAACAACAGCTGCAGCACAACGTAGCTTGCACCACGTATGTTGCATCACTTAGCATGCTAGAAACCACTGTTTGGAATACACGGTGGCTGACACGTTCAGACATACGTGTATACCTACATGTATGTATGTATGTATATACTTATGTACCTAAGTGTGTACACGCCTGAATATATATATATATGTTTACAAAGACATCTTTACATAAGCATGCAAAACACATTCCCCAAACAGCGTTTGCACTTGGAGGCCACTAGAACCATCGGGCGCTTCGCGCGCGCTCAGGCTTTGGCAGGCCCCAGGCCTTGACGAGTTCACTGCTCCACTGAAGAAGTGGACCACATTCCACGCATGTCAAGCCGCCTTCCAGAAGGCTTTCGGGGAAGATGGTTGCGTAGCGGGGCGGAGGCCCGATGAATCGGGTTCCCAGAAGGCCTTCTGAGAACATAGGTTCGGGGGGCGTCTTGGGAAGCCTGTTGGGGCGTGCATGGGCCCGTAAGTTCCTGGACCCCCCAAGGGACCCCCAGGGAACGCCCAAGAGGCCCCCCAACACGCCACAAGAACTCATGTCCACCGAAAGCCTTCGGGGGACATGGTCCATCATGGGTTCGTGAGTCTCCGGAGGCTCCGAAGTACCATCACGCTATCGGAGGTCTGTCTGGGAAGTTGACTGGGAACATGACTGATCGCCTTCTCGCGGCCCCCCGCAGATCGTTTCGCATAAAATTGCTCTAAGTGCCCTCTTGAACCGACGACGACGACGATGATGACGACGACGAAGACGACGAAACGACGAAGACGAGGACGAGGACGAGGACGACGACGGCGCGCCCCAAAAGGCGACGACGACATTACGACGACGACTTTGTGCGAGTTGCCTCCCAGGGCCCTCTTGGGGAGCCTCTTGAGTCCGTCCTGGAGCGTGTTGGAGTCCTCGTCGGCCGTCTTGAGGGCAGCTTCGGCGTTTTCGGGGCCTCTTGGGAGCGTCTTGGGCTCTCTCGGGACCCCCTTAGCCTGTCGTGGCCTGCTTCGGGGCGGGCCCGGGCCGCCTCGGGACCCCTCTGGGCGCCCTCTTGGGGCGCTCTTGGGGCACACTTGGGTTGTCTGGGGAGCCTCCTGGGCCGTCTTGGGGCCCTCTTCGGGGCCTCGTGGGCCGTCTGGGAGCGATATAGAAGGCCTCCGAGGCCGTGAGGGAGCGCTGGGAAATGGGAAAAGCGAGAACACCAAAATGCTTTTTCTAAAACCATTGGACAATTTATGAATTTTGCCTCCCAGGGCCCTCTTGGGGAGCCTCTTGAGTCCGTCCTGGAGTGTGTCGGAGTCCTCGTCGGCCGTCTTGAGGGCAGCTTGGGCGTCTTCGGCGCCTCTTGGGAGCGTCTTGGGCTCTCTCGGGACCTCCTTAGCCTGTCGTGGCCTGCTTCAGGGCGGGCCCGGGCTGCCTCGGGACCCCTCTGGGCGCCCTCTTGGGGCGCTTTTGGGGCACACTTGGGTTGTCAGGGGAGCCTCCTGAGTCTTCTTGGAGCCCTCTTCGGGGCCTCGTGGGCCGTCTTGGAGCGATCTGAAGGGCCTCCGAGGCCGTGAGGGAGCGCTGGAATTCGGGAAAAGCGAGAAAACCAGAATCCTTCGAAAACCATTTAGAAATCCGTGAACTGTGCCTCCCAGGGCTCTCTTTGGGAGCCTCTTGAGTCCGTCCTGGAGCGTGTTGGAGTCCTCGTCGGCCGTCTTGAGGGCATCTTGGGCATCTTCGGGGCCTCTTGGGGGCCTCAGGGGGTCCTCTTCGGGCGGGGGGCTCGCAATTCCAATTAGACTTCCGCAGCTGGGGCTCCTTTTGGAGCCATTTGGGAGGCCGTTCGGGCCATCTTCGCTGCCTCTGGGACTGTCCCGGGCCCCTCTTGAGCCGTCTTGGCGCCCTCTGGGGGGTCTCTTGGGCCGTGTTGGGGCGATCGTAGGGGCTCCCGAGGCTGTCAAGGACGGTACGAAGACGAAAAACACGAATGCGGTTAACATGTACGTCTTACGAAGGGACCGGGGACACGTGTGCCTCTCGGGGCCCTCTGGGGGGTCAAGGTGCATGGGTTGTGAGGCGTCTTGGAGGCCTCTTGTTGGCTGCTTAGGGGCCTCTTGGGGGTCTCGGGGATCCTCTTGGGGCGGGGGGCTCGCAACTCCAGTTGGATTGCCCCATCCTGGGCTCCTCTTGGGGCCCTCTGGGAGGCCGTTGGGGCCGTCTTGGGTGCCTCTGGGGCCTGGGACCCTCTTGGGCCGTCTTGACGCCCTCTCGGGAGCCTCTTGGGCCGCGTAGGGGCGATCTTAGGGGACCCTGAGGTCGTCAAGGATGGTGCGAAGACGAAAAACGCAAATGCGATTAACATGTACGTTTTACGCAGGGGATGGGGCCTATGTTTGCCTCTCGGGGCCCTCGTGGCCCTCTTGGGGCCTCTTGGGGGCCTCTTGGGGCCTCCTGGGGACCTCTTGGGGCCTCCTGGGAGCCTCTGGGGCCGAAAGCTCGGAATTTGAATTTGCTTCTCCACCTCTGGGACCCCTC